CAAGAATCGTTGCCTTCGATTGCGGTAGGATGTAGTATATATAGCCGCGCTGAGCTCCCAAAACACCTCTCACCTCCCACCACAACACCACTCAAGTGCTCTACGGCGAAGCACTACCACAACGAATAGTCAGCGCATTGACAATTAGCTCGCACACACGCACACAAAGCACCTTAGTCATCATGGACGGCGTATTCAACAAGGTACGTGAGAGCCGATCTGCAGCGCGCAGTCGCTGTCGCTGTCGATGCGGTGTATGTGTCGCTGATGTTTCCTTACCCGCTCTGCGATCGAACAGGCCAGTGAATTTCTCAAGAACGACAAGAGCGGTCTTGGCGATGCCATCAACAATGGTGAGCATAGCATGCTTCTTCGTCTCTCGCATCGCATCGCATCGCATCTTGTCCTCCATCCAAGCATCCAAATCTCACACTTGTCGCTCACGAACACCTTGCACAGCTGGTGGTGGAGGTGCCGAGGGAGAGCGCCGCGAGGACTACCTGGACAAGGGTATCGACATTGTGCAAGAACGATTTTTGAACGAGGGAAAGCAGGACAATGAGACTGCTATTGATCAGCAAAAGGACAACTTTATCGCTGATCAGATTCGTGATCGCTACAAGACGTTAGTAGAAGAGGCGTTGGACGGGATGGGGGAATGCCTTGTGCGATGCGAGATGTACGGCGGATCACGTGCTAGAGTGCTTGGCATTGCTGAAGCGATTCACTGACATGTTTTTGGTCTCTTTCACCCCTCGCATATCATCCCGGCCCTCTTGTCACGATTTTCGCCCGCATAGTGCTACTGGTACGTCCTTTCTTTCCGTTATGCCAAGATGCACCCAAACATCCGTTCGCTGACCACCTGCTTTCCCACATGCGTTGCACTTCAGGTTCTGACTTTCCCATCAAGGACGGAATGGGAGCCCAGGACAAGCAGAACTAAGCGATCTCTTGCTTTAGCGCGACATGCTCCAATGCCCCTTCACCCGTCAATCCCAATACGGCACGCAATGACGATGCCTAAAGCTTGAACACGTTGCGTGCAATGCCAACGATTGCGATCAGACTTGACTCTGGCGAGCGATACGATTTGAGAAATAGCGGAAAGTCATTACTGTTTACAGTTCAGCCCAGAGATCAGGCTAGCGGTCCAGTGAGGCAAAGGGGAGAGGGTAAATCTCGCACGGCGAAGGATAGAGATCGCCCACGGCATCCTTGTTCAGAGGAGCCAGGACGTGTAATCTCATTTCTGAGATTTTTCCTCAGCCTGCTCCTTGACCTCGGCAGCTTTGGCATCTGCAGCCTTCTGCTTCGCGGCGGCCTTCTCAGCGTCCTGCGCTTCCTTCTTGATGGCAGCTTCCTTCTTCCTAGCCGCCTCGTTCTGAGCTTTGGCAGCGCGTGCATCTTTTCTGTGTTGTCTGCCCTGCTTGGTAAAGACGCTCCTGAGCACCCCAGTACCGCTGGATGCTGCTGGTACCGACACTGCTGCTGGTGCACCTCGAAGAAAAGGTGGACTGTCGGCTAGCAGGACAGTGTCGTATGTGTAGCCACTTCGACCTGGTCGTTCGCTGTAGGGCACGCGGCAGCAGCATGAAATGGCTGCTAGCACATCGCACAGCCCAATCAGGAGCGAAAAGATGCCCCGGATGAGAATGGAAGAGATTTCACCGATCGCCAGGGCTAGGTCTGGGGATTTTGTCCCCACGCAGAGAAGGGGCAGCAGCGCAGAGAGACGGGTGTGTGTGTGTGTGTCAGGACATTGTTGAAAGGGACTTCTTGTCATGCTGTTCGCTACATTCCGCTCATATACCTCCCTAGCACGTCCATCACTCACTCTCCAGGAGCTCGCCAGTCCAAAGAAAGACGGTGGAGAAGCAGCTGCAGACGATGCCCATTGTTGCTAGTATCAAGAGGTGTGATGTTGAAGTTTAGGGGTGCGTGCAACTTGCTGATTGCAGAGTATATATGGCAGGTAGCAATGTAAAGGCGCGCGTTGGGGCCTGTCTGTCGTTATCCAAACTTGTCGTAAAGTCGTAAAAGGGTTCGTCAATGTGTGTGTGGGGGAGGGAAGGGGGGGTTCGTCAAGGTAGGCAAAGTGGGGGGATGGTGGTCAAAAGGATCGCATACAGGATTCGACAAGTTGCAAGAGGGACCGACTGTGACTACCAGGCGCTCGGACAGTCGCGAGTTGCCGCATCAACCCTCCGTCCCCAGCTCGTCTGGACCTGGCAACGACGCTCACGGCGTCTTGAGCGGTGTCTGACAGACTTTGTGAGGTTGTGCTGCGCGCGTGTCTCGTGAGGGCACGTCTTGCTCAGGGGTCAGCCATGCATGTCTTTGTGCCTCTTCGGCGCGCCGCGCGGGTTGCACTCAAGACTCTTGACTCGCCCGCGGAGGCCTGTGCCGAGGGCTATACACAGTAGTAATCACGTGCGGCGCGCGCGCTCGCAATGAATCAAAATCACGAATCGAGAATTCAAATTCAGATTTACTCAAGCATACAGTCGTGCACGATCGAGCCGCCGACTAGTTTCACTTTGACTCTGTTGCAGCGTTCGCGGTGCGATGCGCTCAGCGGCTTAATTGAAAATCCAGTCACGAGTCAGTTTAAGTCGAAGGTCACGCACGTCAAGAGTCATCTTATCTTTGCCAGTCAGTCGAGAGCCACATTCGTGATTAA